CCCGCCCTACCTCCCGCAGGCCCGGCTGTCCTGCCACCGGCGTCCCGGCCAGCCCCGAGTCGCATGGGGGCGGAGCCGCCCGCGGCCACCACTTCCTGAGAGCCGGGGATACCCCTCCCGGACGTCACGGAGGAGCCGAGGCGGCGGTGGCGGCCCGGGGCTCATCCTGCACTTGCATCACGGGTGCAGCAGCAGCTGCTCTGCTCCTTTGTGGCTTTTTCCCCTGTTGAGTAACTGCTTTGTTAACTGAAAATACCATGACGGGCCAGTGTGATCACCAGCTCCAGACCTCAAGGAAAGTGAAGCTGTCAGGCAAGGAGAGGGAGACTCCCCCAGCAGGCTGCGATGGTATCTGGTGGGTGGGTGTGCAGAGAAGCACTTGACAGTTTCCACGTATTACTTCTTGCCTAACTCTTCACCCCCAAGGAGGTTTAAAAATACTTTTATTTCCGTGCTGTGTAAAAATTTAATCTTGTTCTGCGTCCCTCCCATTCCTCCTTCAGTTTAAAAAATCGTATGCAGAACTGGAATCACTGTAAGCAGGAACCCTAAAATTAGATACAGTTTTTAGGAAACATGACATCTTTCAACGAATTTTTAAAATAACTACATTTTCTAAATGTTAATATATAAAAGGACCTTGCCCACTCAGAGTCGTTATAAAGCTCCTGGTTGAGTTTCAAACCAGTGTCCTTGTTTACCTTAAACTACAAAAAAAAAAAAAAAATCTAGCCATGGTTGAGAATCTTAGGTAAAGCATTTGTCTGGGTAGGTGTGTCTTCTGGACTCTTTCTTAATTCCTTGCTTCCTTTTCCCCCTTTCCCCGCACCATCTGCCTTTTACACCCTCTTTCCTGAGTATCAGGTCACCAATCTCTTGCTTCACAGCTCTGCTAGGCTAAGGGCTGATGTGTGTGCTAATGCAATTGCCTGTTTCTGGCTCAGTGCTTCTCTGGGTAGGAAGCTGAACTGACCTGTTGGAGAGATTCCAGTGGTCCCTGATAAGGGACAACTTTTTTGCTCTCAAATGGAAAATCATGGAAATGGATACAAGGCTGGCTTACAAACTGAGACACCTACTCTGCTTAACCCAAGATCTCATAACAAAATAATTTTTATCTATTCTTTTTCTATATTAATATTCTCCTTTTTTCCTCTTCTTTTTCCTTTTAACTCTAATCCACCCCTGAACCATGAACCCTAAACCCTGAACCCTAACCTTCACCTTAAGCCCCTCTCTACTTTTTCAAGAGTCTGCTTTGCTAGAAATCAGGTATGATATGATGTAAGGCATATGTAGTGTGGCACATGCCTTACATCATAATATGCCTAATTATTTTAGTAATCTGAATGATCTTTTGGATGACTTTTATTTAAAGTGAAACTTAGTACTTTATAGTTGAATTTCTTCTTTTGGGAAATTGAATCAGAATAACACTACTTTTTTATTTTAAGTTTTACTGTAGAGTGCTTGTGCTTGTGGGAGGCAGAGAGAGGGAGAGAAATCACCCCCTAAGGAGAATGAACACTTTGCAGTCCCTTCTCCATGCTCCTCTGATTTTGAGCATGCACCCATGCACATGCACCTGTCTTGTTTATCAAGCCACAAGGTCTGGGTCTTGAATTGCACAGTTGGCCATATGGGATCCAGCCACCTTAGCTGCCATGTCACTGGCTGGCCCAAGACTACCTTAACCTGTGGAATGTTGAAAATTTTCCTGGGTGGATTCTTTTTTTCTATAAGAGGAACATTCACGTGTGGCTGGCCTAGTATACACACAGAAAGAAAGCAGTTTGTTTCTGCTTTCATGATACTTTTAAGACAGCCAATCCTAAAATCTTTCCATAAAGTAACTATTACAGTCTCAGTGGATAATTGCATCTCATTTTGTTTTGGATCTGTGGGGCTAATCTGCCTATAAGAAAAAAG